TTTGTTCATGCAAAACAGATTTAGCATATTTCTGGTACCCTTTTTATAATCACTGGGTCCAATCAAGTTATTTGAAATGAATTTTTGGGAATCCACTTCATTCTACCTCTAGGAATAACATACTTCTTAATTCTACAATATTTCACGAGAATGACCTTTTTTCATGCAATAAAAACATTTAATCACAGATGATGAGTATGATTTCTTGTTTACATTTGTTTTTCTGAATTTCTTGCTAGATGTAAATCCAATGCCAGATTTGTCAAAAATAAGTTTTTGTGACCCAAGAAGAACATCAAGATTAGCTTGACCTTGTGTAAACTTTGAAATAGTTTGTGATAAAAAATCAATCTTCTTTTGTAATTCGGAACACTTATTACATGGTTTATTACATACACAATCAGAATTATCATGGATTAATTTTAAAAAGTCAAGATCAGTTTCATCTTCAAGAATTTTCTTTTCAAGAGAATCTACTCTATTTACTAACCAATTATTCATGCCTTTTAGCCTATCATTTTCTTTTTGCAGTTTCTTAGTTTCTTCATGCATTTCATTAAATGCTTCTTGTAATGAATTATAATTCACCAAATTTGAAGAAGAGTTAGAACTTACACTGTTGGTTTGATGATTTTGATTTTCCATTAGACACAAGTTAGCTTCTTCATTATCAGAATTTTCTGTTGATGAAGTATCATTATCATCCCATGCAACATATGCTCTTCTTTTGACTTTTTCCTCTTTCTTATCATTGTATTTCTTACCACAGCCATAGCATTTATAGTTAAAAGAATCAGATTTCTTTTCATACCTTTTGTGTTTTTCTTTATCTTGAATCTTTTCCTTGAGAAATTTGTTGAACTTTCTGACAAGCAGTCCAAGATTTTCACTTTCCTCCTCTGATTCTTGACTTCTTTCTTCAACCTTGAGTGCTATACTTCTACCTTTTTTCTCAAATACTTCTTGCTCATTGAATCTGTTAATTTCCATTTCATGTTCTTTGAGTTTGCCAAACAAGGAAGCTGTTGTCATGACAGATAAGTCTTTTGATTCTGAGATTGCTGTGACCTTGGGCTGCCATGACCTGTCAAAACATTTCAGAACTTTAATATTTAATTCTTCTTTATCAAAAGTTTTACCTAAGCCCATTAGATGATTGATGATATGAGTGAAGCACTTCTGCACATCTGCAATACTTTCTCCAGTTTGCATTTTAAACAACTCATATTCTCTTATGAGAGTATGTTTTCTGGCTCTCTTTACATCAGTTGTTCCCTCATGAGTAACCTCAAGAACTTCCCACATTTCCTTGGCAGATTTGCATTGGGAGACCCTGAAAAACTCATCCATATTTAGTGCAGAAGTAATTATGTTTTTAGCAGTACAATCACTTTGAACTTTTTTCTTTTCTTCATCATTTAAACTAGAACATTTTTTTTCTGTAATTAATGGACCATTAGTAATTACATCCCAAACATTCCTATCAATAGATTCAATAAAGATCTTCATCCTAATCTTCCAAAATGGATAATCTGTTCCACAAAATAGTGGAGGTCTATTAATAGAAGCTCCCTCAGAAAAAGGTAATTTGTTTTCAGCCATTAAAGATTTGGACCGAAAGCCTTGAGTATTTTTCAAGACCCTTACTCTTGATACCAATTGTTAGAAATGTAGGCTGAGATCAAGAGGGGGGGTGAATTGATCTTTGAAAGATTTTCTCAATTTACAGATTATCTATTTCAAAGATTAAGAATTCTGACCAGTTCTTGAATCACACACAGCAAGCAATCAAAATAAAGGTAGTGACAGAATTAAAAGAGAGAAAGGTTTAGAAAGATACAACCAAGATTTATACTGGTTCACCCAATCCCAGGGCTACGTCCAGTTTCCAGCCAAATTCCAGCTGGGTTCCACTAGATTGAACGTTTTACAGATTACAAATTTAATCTCACACTCAATCTACCACAAGAACCAAAATTCCAGTCCCTGCACCTAAACCTTCACCAAGAACCAAATTCCAGTTCTGGACCAACCCTGCAGCCAAATTCCAGCTACAGAAACCAGTGCCCACAATTCCAAGCACCCACAATACAGTAAAGAAAGTAAAGAAACAAATAGAAGAAACTAGAACTCTCAAACCAGATTTATGCAGCTCTGTAGTATGAGTTTCTTCTCCAAAAGAATGCAAATTTTGCCTCAAGAAAAAACTTCTATGAACTTCAAAAAACTAGCGCGATTCTCTCTTGAAAGTAGAACTTATGATTGCTTGATTGATTGCTAAAAGATGTCTTTTAAAAAGTTCAAGCAACTCTGTTTATATAGAAGATTTTCAAAACTGCTGGTTTATTTAATCTGTTAAAATAATCTTTTAATCTGTTAAAAGTCTTGTTTTAATCTGTTAAAACTTCTTATAATCTGTTAAAAAGTTCTTGATTATTTTCCAGATTTGTTTTAACTGATACGACACTTGTTTATATCAATTAAAACTCTTTGTAAAAAATCTTCCAAACTGTTTTAATCGATTGTTTCGTCTTTCAATCGATTAAAATACTGCAAAACATTCTTATAAACTTTTCTAAGTGATTTTAACTGATAACAATCTGTTTTAATCGGTTAAAACGTTTTGAAAAAAGTTCACTTAGTTATTTTAATCGATTGAAACACATTTTAATCGATTATAATTCTGCCAAAAGATTTCATAAAACTTTCTAAGTTATTTTAACTGATAGCAAGCTTGTATTAATTGATTAAAACTTTCTGGAAAAACCTCTTAGTTGTTTTAATCAATTATTTCGCATTTGTATCGATTAAAATACTGACAGAACAACTTTCAAGACACTTCAAGTTATTTCAATCGATTATTTCGAGTTTGTATCGATTAAAATTCTGCCAGAACACTTTTCAAAATATTCTAAGTCATTTTAATTGATTATATCAATTCCATATTAGTTAAAATATTGGCAGAAGGTTTTCAAAAATCCTTCTAATGAAAACAATCGATTATTTCGAAAACATATCAGTTAAAAACCTATTACAAAAGTGTTAAGAACATTTTAGTTGATAAAACTTATATACTATTAGTTAAAATAGTTAATTAAAAACCTTTTAACAAAATACTTTGTTTTTTTAACCGTTTAAACATTTTTTAGAGGCATTTGCAAAATCTTTTAAATGAAGAAACCTCATGCAGTAGAGAGATAAAAATGATTATACCTAAGTAGAGATGCAAACTCACTAATCTCACTACCCTTTTATCTAAGTGACCTTTGACTGCCACAAAGTAGCCTTTGACTTCATTTTTGACATCATCAAATCAACAAGATCTTTGCCAAAGTAATTCAATAAGATCTTCATCACTTTCAGAGATCAACCTGCCAATCCAAATAGGTCCCATTATCTTTAATGTGGATTTCCATGTGATGGATATCACTCCTGCTTACAGTTGCCTCCTCGACAGACCTTGGATTCACGATGCCAAAGCGATCCCTTCAACGCTGCACCAAAGAATCAAATTCGTGGTAGGTGACAAACTGGTCACAATTCAAGCTGAACACAACATCTTGATCAGCAAGTCGTCTACCCTACCCTATGTGGATGCAACTGAAGAGACCCTTGAAACATCCTTCCAAGCACTTGAAATCGCCAATGTTGAAAGACTTCCCAACAATATGAAGGTGGCACATACGATATCAAAATATGGGTACCTCCCAGGCCAGGGACTCGGTATGAATTCCCAAGGAATAAGGGAGCCACCAGATTTCAAAGATAATCCTTTGAAGCATGGCCTAGGTATGACCCTACAAAGGATCGAACTACAAGAAGAAAGGGAAAGTCTCCCCTTCGGCCATTGAATCAGATCTTCCAAAGCGGAGGGATACAAGCGTCAAGAGCAAATTTAGTCATTAGGTGTTCTTCTTCCAATTTTTAAAGGAATGTAAACCCAATGACTATTAGAGATTACTCCCCGGGGCAAGCCCGACCGCCGGACATTTTCAGGGCACATATTCCCCTTTTAATCATAAAGAATGCGTTTCTTACTATCTGCTTCTTTTCTTGCTATTCATGTTTATACCTCCTTAATAACCATAATAACCATGTTTAAGCAAACGTTTCCAAAAGGCGTCTAAAAATTAAGAGGGCACTATCATCAAAAGGCAAAATTAACCATCACTGATTGATTAGAAACACAAGTAAGGTTTTACCTCGTCATAATAAAGTTGTGTTTCACCAATGTTGTGCAAAAAAAGAAAACGAAGAGCTCGTAGAAGCCGAAGGCCAAAAAAGGAAGGGCAACTTACTCGGTAGGAAACCAACAAAGGGGGCTACGCAAAAGTTAGGGTCAGCCCGCTAGGAAACCCACAAAGGGGGTTACAAAACAAAGTTCATTAGAGTTCCTAAAGCAAAAAAGGAAACCTAGACAAAAGTTAGGACCAAACACAACATCCTAGATTGAAAACCCATAGGGCGTTCTAGGGAAGTCAATCAGTTGTAATAGGCACCACAAAACAATAAGTTAAAGATGCAACCTCGCAAACAAGCGTTTGTTTAAACTAAGCCTAAATAGTCTGACTAACCTTGGCTAGTTGTGCTTACAAATACCATTGTTTTGAAAATAAAAATCCCTTCTAAAACACAAACCTTTGAATTAATTATCCTCTTCCTTCTTTTCTCTTGACGCTTATCACTATGATATTCTGGTGATTAACTGGGCAATATGGAAACATAGTAATCAATAGGAGGATTGAAATTCCAAAAAAAAGGAAGAAACACACTAGTATGGCGAATAACTCTTCGACACAATCATTCTTCGATTATGGCAAATCTGAAACGACAAAAATGGTACAGCTAAATGTGACACCAGAAGAGCCTCATCGTCAAGAACACATCAATTAATTTTTCTGAAAATATTAATTAAATTAGCATTATAGGATGCATATCATAAACATTACATGCATAGATGCTGGTGAACAAGGTCTTATTTTCTTCAAAAAAAAAAAAAGGTAGCGAATGACCGTCCACTTAGGCCAGACGACCGTCTGCCAGTGGTCGTTGGGACTAGATGGCCTTCCATTCAGAGCAGATGGCCGTCCAGGGGTAGCCGTTGGGGGCAGACGACCGTCCAGGAGTGGCTGTTGGGGGCAGATGGTCGTCCACTTACACCAAATGGTCGTTCGTCCCTGTAAATTTTTGCCTATAAATTTAGGCGCTCAAAATGACTCATGACATCCCATTTTTGCATTCCCTCTTCCTCCTTCACTTTTCCTTGCATATTTGAGTGTTTTTGGTTGACTAATGGACCATGGGGAATTGTCAACATGTCGAAAACGCTCCCGGGGACCCATAAGGAGCATCCCCACTCCTCAAATTCCCACTCAGCTGACGAAGCAGCACCGGGCTAAATTCACTAATATTAGCCAGTATGCGTGGCACCCTATGCTCTGGTTAGACTTCAGGATCCTAACCATGTTTGATTGGGATCAGGATGTAAGGAGATACATCCAAGGCATAGGGTGTGACTTTCTGCTCAGAGATCCACCTACCCGCATTCACTGCACCGCCACATTGGAATTCCTTGCTTCTGTTACGCTCATAGACCTACCATTTATGATCCCTGGGGTTCCTCCTGTCCAAGCAATTACATACTAGATGAATGGGGCCTACCAGACCAACATCCTAGATGAGTTCAACATCCTCATGGGATTTCATCAACTAGCAGAAATCCAAACCGCAGAGTACAGGGGGGCATATTGTGAAAGGTCGGCCACCCTCACCACCAGTCAAATATGGGAAGAGATTATCGGTTCCCAACACATTCCTGCCAACCCTAAGGGGACTGCCTTCCTCCCTCCTCTCCGCATTTGTCACAAATTATTGGCGGGCACCCTTCACAGCCGAAAAGAAAGCCAAGGCAAGGTCACTCAGGCAGACCTTTTAAGAAAAGGAGGGTTTTCTTAGAAAAATAAAAATTAGGGTTTTTGTCAGAGGGTCGGGATGGCCTTCCTAGATCCAGACGGCCGTCTCAACCCCCTTGGGGGCCTGGGACGACCATCCCAGATCCAAACGCCTGTCGCAACCCATTTTTAGCCTGGGACAACCGTCCCAAATGCCCATACAACCGTCCCGACCTCTTGGAAGCGCGAGCCTATAAATAGAGGCGCCATTTCTCTCATTTCACACATCATTCAGAGCAGTGCTCTCTTCTCTCTCTACTTTGAAACTTTTTCGAGCATTTTTGCTTAGTTTCAAAGTTCGAGTAGTCTTTCCGACTATCCTTTTTGGATTAAGTCGGTTAAGGAAGTCTCTTTTTTGAGACATCTAGCACTCAGTAGTATAGGAACTTTTATTGTTCGGGGAGGAGTGCTCTTGTAGAGGGAGGAGTTTGCCAAAAAGCGTCCTCACGTTTTCAAGAGATATATAAAAGCTCGCTTTGGAGGTTCCTTTCTCTATTCCTTCTCTTTTAATGCTTTTCTTTATCGCTTTCTTTTGTGTGCATTAGATATTAGGGTCATGTAGATAGCTATTTAAATACCTCAATGAATAAATAGGGTAGAAGCGTAATTTTTATGTCTTTATTTTAAGATTATTCCATCATAGGGAACCCAAAAGGGGCGTTATGGGGTGCTAACACCTTCCCCATACGTAACTAACTCCCTTACCCAACTCTGGTTATAATGGCCAAAGTTGATTTTTCTTAAACCAACGCCTTCTTTTTTTCCTTTTTCCATGTTTATGGTAAAAATATTGGTGGCGACTCTTGAACCCATTTACAAAAATCTCGCTCTTAAGGGTAGTTCGGTTATCAAACACCCTAGGAGCGATGACCACTCTTTTTATGAAACAAGCGTGAGTCACAAAACCATCGCGTCACACCGACCACTTTTTATGGCGGCGACTCCACTAGGAAAGTCATGAGAGTTGATCTCATTTAGTGATGGAATAATCCAAAAAAATAGTAGATTTGAAATTATGCTATCACCCTTTCTTTGTTTGTATAACATGTTTTACTTCTATGGCTTTAATAGCTGTTATTTGTTTATTTTCTGCAATTTTTTGAAATACAAACTGTACACAAACCCTTACACACAACAATCCCTCTATACCCGGGGGTAAGAGTGAATACACATAGGGAGTGGGTGGTGTTTATGGCCGGCCGTGGTAATTGCCATAGTGCCAGCAGGTCATTGTCAGAAGCCACCACTCAAGGTGATAACCCTCCTCTCTCAATCTGTAGGATGTCGAGAAGGCACTTGAGCCACACATGGTTTGAGGGCTGAGAGACCGTGGGAACCCTACAATGGGGGCACCTTGGGGATCTAACCTTGGTGAGGACAGTTAGAACCTACCTTTGCCAATGCACTTTTCTGCAAGAAACCCCTACCTCGTAATTAAACGTCATCGCTCTGTTCATGGATGAGTGAATTGTTTGTGCACTTTTTTGTTGCATTTGTTTGTCACATTTGCATAGCATAATCATACAATAGTAAAAATAAATAAAAAATAATAATACAAATAAAAATAACATCTCAACATTTTTTCTTAATAAACAACCTTATCTTAGACAGTCTTCATTTAAGCTAGTCTGATTTCAGGTTCTTTGTAAGCTAAGTATCCACGTTGACCTACAAAAGAGATAAGGGGTCATAAAAACAAATAAAAACCTTTTTTTAAAAAATAAACATCTTTATCTTGGACAGTCTTCATTTAAGTTAGCTTGGTTTCAGGTTCTTTGTAAGCTAAGTAGCCATGTTAACAAACATAAGAGATAAAGGGTCACAAAAAATAACAAAAATAACAAAAAAAACAAAATACAATAAAACAAATGCTAACAAAGTCAAAACATTCATTTCAAAAAAATAATAACAAAATTTAATAAACGATTTTGACAAAGTCAAAACATTCATACCCATATCATTGCATAAGTGGTAAAATCAAGAGAGAAAATAAATGCATAAGGAAAGTATGCATATGCATCATCCTAATGAATCTCTCATGCATGAACACATTCATTTTTAGGGGGTACTAGATATCTTTAAGACAAAGGCGAAAGAAACCCAAGTGCGTTTGTAACCTTCCACAAGGAAGGGACAAGTGCGCTAAGGCATATGGTGATCTTTGTTATACTTGTCAAATCCATGATGGGGAAGGAACCATTATATCGAGGTGGGTATGGTGCTCCATAAAGCATAAGCTTTCAAGAGAATACTAAAGCCATTGTCTTAAGACATATCCATCCCACACTCATTCATTTCATAAAATAAAAATAAAAACCCTAATCATCTGCATTTTAGAAAGTGGTTGGTCTTCTTCTTGTCCTCACTCACACGCAGAAAGCCAAAAGGATGGAGAAATCGGAAGAGCAAAACTGCGAGCTCACCGCTGAGCTTAATGCCATAAAGGAGCAAATGGCACAGTTAATGGAGCGGTTAGAGGAACAAAATCGTATGCTCACCGCTGAGCTTAATTATGTGAAGGAGAAGTTGACACAGTTAACGGAACTAATGTGCCAACAACATGCCCGCAATGAAGGCCCCCACAATGACCATACAGGCAAAAGAGTTGAACAAGGACTAAAGAGTGGGACGATTACACAATCTCTCTCATCCTCATCATTCAAGAAGTTCCTTAGCAAGAAGGAGAGACGAAGCGTGATTGCCAACCTTGCTACTTCTTTTTCCTCTCCGCGACCAGATAAGCAACCATGCAAACAAGGAGGGAAATTTACTCCAATTCCAACCTCCTATGGGAGTTTACTACCAAAGTTGGTAGAGGATAGGCTCCTAACACGTGTTCCTCCAAAGAAGACGAATCCACCCTACCCCAAATGGTACGAGCCTAAAAAAAAAATGTGATTACCATTCGGGCGCTCCTGGGCATTCCGTGGAGAGTTGTTTGAATTTGAAGTATAGGGTTCAAGAGTAATTGGATGCCGGGTGGATCACGTTCGACACTCCCGCTCCTTATATTGATGCCAATCCTCTATCACAACTGAAATAGTGGGGTTGGACAAGAGAAGGTAAGCTGATTAGAGCTCCTCATGTTAGCATTAATTTTTAAGCTTCCTGCATATCTCTCGCGGTCCCCGCCCATGGCTGCGAGATCTTTGATTAAAAGGGGTTTGTAAATATTTATTTTTTATCAATACAATGAGGCATTCTCATAACATTCATATTCTTTTCCATTCTTTCCTCCCTCATTATTATTTCAAAATAAATGATAATAAAATCAAAGCCTAAACAGAACCATAAGAACAATCATGTCTGTGATGGATGACTCTCTGCGGGATCCAAAAGCCGAAGGCGAATGGACCGAGTCAGATAGTGAGGAGAGGACCTTTTCCCTAGACATGCATAGGCTATTAGAAAAGGAAGCTCAATATATACAGCCCTAATAAGAAGGAATCGAGGCCATCGATTTGGGAGGCAAGGAAAGGATAAAAGGGAAAAAGTATAGACACCTAAATCAATGATAAAACGTTAGGGAAGGTTTGGTATAACTGCTAAGAGAGCATGAGGACGCATGTGCATGGTCCTACCATGACATGCTAAGATTTCATATTTTGACATCATAAGTCCTCTCCCTACCGACCTAAAATGAATGGTGCAGTAGAGGCAGTCAATGAGAACATCAAGACAAACATACGAAAGATAAAACCCACAAGGATTGACATGAAATGTTACCTTCTACCCTTCATAGGATATCGAACGTCTATACGGACCTCCACAGGAGTTACTCCATATTCTCTTGTATATGGTATGGAGGTTGTACTTCCAATAGAGGTCGAGATACCATCCCTACGAATTATCATGGAAGAAAAATTGACAGAAGCTGAATAGGTCCAAAACCAATACGATCAGTTTAACTTAAACAAAGAAAAACGGTTGGATGCCATACGTCATAGACAAGCCTACCGAAAGAGGATCAAAAGGGATTACGACAAAAAAGGTCAACTCCTATATTTACCATGAGGGGATTTAATGGTAAAGAAATTGCTTCCGGCCCAAAAAAGACAAAATAGGAAAATGGGCAGCAAAATATGAAGGACCCTTTGTGGTTAAGGGAACTTTCTCGGGAGAAGCTCTTATCCTCACCAACATGGATAAAAAGGAACCTTGACACTTAGCCAATTTCGACACGGTGAAGAAGTATTATGCTTGAAGACATTGCTCATGACCCGCTAGGATGA